CTTCCAAAGATCTTCAGTTATTTGCTTTTACGCCATATTTTAACCGTTTCAGTAGGCTGTGTTTGAAACCCCTGATGTCCAAGTTTTATGTTCAGCACTTCATAACGAAATAGCACATGGATGTCAGTTCGACGATGTTGCATATGCTATATCTCAGCGATTTTCTGGACAGAATATCACAAATGACGTGCCTCAGAGTACCACACATAATTGGAAATTGACCTGGAGGTTTCAATTACTGCCGTTCAGAAATAGTCAAATTTAGAGAAAGTTGCTTACGGCTATCCACAATTTAATAGGTATAATTGAACGACTGCATTTTTAGAATGATGCATTGTCAATGATCATCATCAGCATCTTCCCTGACCGCTTCTCCTTTCTGGTTGCTGAGGCAGACGCGTTAGTCAGTGTCTCCAACTTTCCAAATCCTGCGCACATTCTGAGCCTTAGCGCAAAATAACCGAAGTTTGCGGTAGACTTCTTCGATACATTTGCACCAGGTCAATCTTGGCCGTCCCCTGAGCCTTCTGCCGGTCGTACTCGCAAGAAACAGTTGCTTAGTCTTCCTTTCTAAAGGCATTCGCAACACATGCCCAAACCATCGTAGCTGTGACTTGTCAACAGGTAATATTTCTTAATCCTGTGGTTTCGGACGCAACGGCAATCTTACTGAATAGAGCGGGGATTTCATTACCAACGTTTCGACCTATGAAAACGGTCTTCCTCAGGTTAAACAGCAGTTAACACTTATGACTGTTATTTGACTTCGAGGATGATCATAGTCGTACGGGGGAGATTTTAGCAAGAAAATCTCTTCTTTGTTCGATCAGACTACGCTTGGGTCAAAACGCGTAACATCAAGAAGCTATCAGTTGGCTTAGACGTGGTGCAGAATAAGTTCGTGGTCGATCCATTATTTGTGGTCGATCTTTTGCTTGTTGTCTGTCGCATGGTTGATAGATTTTAAATCATCGAAGCGATTATTCATAACGCATAAAACGCGTTGAATTAAGCCTAGTAGCAAACGTAGCATTCCTTGCCAAAAGATCGGTTTGTAACGTTCAGTGTTTTAACCATTTGAACTGGCTCAACGATAAATGAGCAGGAATCAGCAACCATAGCTGGTCTCCCTTTCTGCTGATGATGACAAGGAAACGGGTACTATTCAACTTGCAGATAACGCACCACCAGCCAGAGCGAATAGCACACTTTGAACTGATCTGAAATAAGGAAGGATATTCGAATAAGCTATTTGATTTACATATTCGAAATGGACTTCGTATTTTGCAGATCTTCAAGACATCTTAGAAAGAGAAACGCCAATTAATGACTTACCTGAGTTGTAAACTGATATCTGTCGTTTCTGCCATTCTGCAAGATACATTCTTC